AGATAGAGAGATAGAGAGATAGAGAGATAGAGAGATAGAGAGATGAAAGAAAAAAAGGAAAAAGGGACAGAGAGAGAAAAGGAAGGAAGGAGGGAGAGAGAGAGAGAGAGAGAGAGAGAGAGAGAGAGAAAACACCTGGTCAGCAAGCTACTCCCACCAGGTCACATGGCCGGCAAGCCACTCCCACAAAGGAGGCCACACCCACAGAGTAGGTTCGAAAATTTTTTGAAACCCACCACTGACCTTGTCGCACACCTTGGGACAATTTTAATAACTCTTGATCATCAGGGAAAAATGATATATTTATCTAGCAAAGAGAGTTGATATAACATTACTGACCTGCAGTTCCTAAGCTAAGGAGCACAGCCACCCAGAACACCCAGAATAATATAAGTATTATAAACGTCCAAATAGGTTGAAAATACAAAAAGGGGACTTTGCCAATTATTTTATTGGCAGCCTGAAAGAGCTGAATAATCAAGTGAATCTTCTTCCTTAATAACACTATCAGGACAATTAGAATCACCTATAAAAAGAAAAAAATAATGCATTAGAATGTTTCTATTACCCAAATGAGAATCAAGTCTAGGAACTGTACTTAATTCTTCATTTGTCCACTAACCAAATAATTTTGAGACGGTAGTCTTACAAAACTACATTATAAATGCACCACCACAGAGATAAAAATTTCAATAACATTATCACGGTTTTGCACCATACTTCTGCCCAAGAAAATGTGAAGAAGATACACCGTGAAAACCATAGATTCTATACGGAAAAAGCTTAAACGTAACTTAAACAAATGAGTACGTTCTGTTAGATACTTCTTGTTTTAAAAGTTTTCTAAACTGATCTAAATATAAACAGCTACAATTATACAGCAGGAAAATGCAACAATATAAAGACCAGTATATGTATCATTAAAAATGAGGTGGTTTGTTTGATCTGTCACTTCTCATACACTGCAAGATCTTTAACAGTACAATGCTAAAAATGTTAAGTAAAAGTTTATTCAAATATATATTTTTGTGTAATGTTAATGCAGCTGCCTTCCTTGAGATATCTGCTGCCCCCTTGTGCCAGCAACTGGGTACAGGGGTTAATGAGGCAAAAACATTGCTACTACTGACGCTTGGGGCCCACAATTCTCTATTAATTGAATCTGATGATTGACACAAAAGCCTAATTCACATCGGTACAATTCACAAGTGCAGCAGGCTGTGTGTTTTCTCTCTCTACAACTTAAATATGTCCTATTCCATTGTACCNACACCTACAGAAGGGGTTCTAAAATATTTTGTAACCCACCACTGGCCAGATGGTATCTGCCAGGGAAACCTATATGGATATAGGTTTCATTGTGATATGGAAAATAAATGTCCATGCTATTGTACAAATCACCCTATTTTCATTATCTTAATAATTCCCAGATTGTAATAAAATAATTATAATGCTTCACTTCAACCCATAGAGTACTCTAGAGTCATTTTTAAATATCAACAAATAATTTCCCTCGTGGCTTTTATTCTTGCAGAATGGGTTTATTATTTAAATTTTGTATTTAAATCCTCACATTGGCATTCCTTTTGGAGAGGGACACAGCGACAGCATATAAAACTAACCTGAATGGATCAAGATCTATCTCACACCATGTAATTTTAACAAGCTGGGGGAAATGAGGAAAATCTCATATAGCAGAAACAATACTAATCGGTGTATCTGTTCAACTGCAAATTTTTGATAACAGAAGAGCATCATTGTGACTTTATCCCTGTTTTTTTTTTTAATTTGGGAAGGTTTGGGGATGTATCTACATCAATTGAATAGTTTTTCAACTAATTTTTCATTCTAAAGTTTTGCAAATAGAAACATAATTAAGTAATAATTGTTTCTTCGTACTGAAGAGGCACTTAGTTGGCTGACTGTTAATTTTTGCATTGATATTGTATTCTCGTACAATTGTACTCATACTAATCCTTACCTATATGATCTGTGGACTTCTCCTTTATTTCCATAGTCGAAACAAAATACTGCCTTCGCAGGTGTATTAATAGCAATAGCAATAGCAGTTAGACTTATATACCGCTTCATAGGGCTTTCAGCCCTCTCTAAGCGGTTTAAATTATACAATTAAAATTATTAAATTTCCTTAATTCAATACTATACATCTTGAAGAACTATGGGTTCATCTTGACCATAAACACCCAAGCCTCCTTAATTCCATTTTCTCTTTTTTGCAGGAAATGCAGTTTTTATCTTAAGGTCAAATAACAGGAGACTAAGGGAAGAAAATACACATGGCTAGGATATGCTGTTGATAACATGACAACTTAAGCCAATCTATGATAATCAGGTAACAATCAATGTAGGGTCTAGCTTGGTTCTAGAGCCCTTGGGACAGTTTTGGGACACCTTGTCCAGAGGTGGGTTCCTACCAGTTCGCTAGAATCGTCAAATCTACCGAACCGGTTAGAAGAGATTCCACCAGTGGACCCGGAAAGCAGGCCACACCTACAGAAGAGGTTCCAAAAATTTTTGAAACCNCAATAATTATATAATCCTGTTTTACTTACAGAGAAAGGAATCCACTGACTTCAAGAGGGCTTGTTTATATATGCTTACAGGACTGATCTCCCTCCCTTCCCCCCCCAAAAAAATCTTAAAAATACCGTAAAAGTAAGCTAAGAAACAAGGTTTTTAGCAATTAGATTAACTGTTGAACATACCGGTTGAAGAAGCAAGTAACTACAGTCCCAGCTATAGTCATTTGCTGACATGCTAGAATAAATTCACTTGTCCAGATAAGCCCCAGTAAATGATACCACCACATGTAGCGGATTCCAAATTGAATTTTGTATTTCACTTGGCCTCCTGGAATGACTTGCACGCTGCCTATAAATTTAAGGCACAAAGAATAGAAATCAGTATTCTTTTACTGTCCTTTTTTAGCTTACTCAGCTGTTATTCAACTGACCATTTATCATATTTTAGAAACAATTTGTAATGGAAATATTTGAAACAGATCGTAGATAAAAAAAACAATCGACAATAAAAATGAATAAAAAGATAAATGTCAGACTAAGGCACGATGTTTATACTAAAATAAAAAATAAAAATTATGGCTAGATTTTTTTTTAAAAGGAACAAAGTGCAGCCACAAAATGTTTAAGCGACATCAAAATGAGCTACAATTATAAACTTTTAAAACGCTGAGACAGCTTTGTATATATACAGGTAGTCCTTTCATAACAATGACATTTGTGACTAGCAACTCCGTTTTATTAGGTGAAGTGAAGTAGCAATGAAACGGTAATTAAATAAGAACTGCCTGTATTAATTATAACTTAAGATATTAAATATAGCTAACATAAAGCTCAACATTCCATGGAGAGAAAACAAAGATTTATAAAATTAAAAAGATTTCAAAATCTGACAAGAATATGCATCTGTAGTAGAAAATACATACATAGAGAAAAGGGTAATGTATTCACTACTGCAATGCGCTCTACATGGGGCAGCCCTTGAAGAGCATTTGGAGACTTCAGCTCGACCAAAATGCAGCCGCGCGAGCGATTGGGGGTGCGCCTCGGAACACCCACACCACCCCTATC